CCCTCCGGTTGGATCCGCTAGTGTTTTCTGTTGATAGTTCTTCCAACTTTAGAGACTTTTTCGACACATTTGTAGATAACTATAATGTCTTACAAAATCTTAAGCTTAATAATCTTTTCTCTAAAATAGTGTTTTTGTCACTATTTACGGAATTTTTTTCGATCATACAAGGAAAGGCAGGCCGTCTGGCAGAGTTCGCTAGTGCTGGTCACAATAGCAATTTTTTTTAATATTACATTAGGGAATTCGCGTATGAGGATAAAGTTTTCCTACATTTCTCTTTCCTCTAAAATAGTATTTTGTCACTTTTTACGGAATTTTTTTCCACCCCCACGAATAGATAGATAGGTAGATAGGTAGATAGGTAGATAAGTAGATAGGTAGATAGGTAGATAGGTAGGTAGGTAGGTAGGTAGGTAGGAGGTAGGTAGGTAGGATCTATCTACCTATCTACCTATCTATCTATCTACCTACCTACCTACCTACCTATCTACCTACCTACCTACCTCCCTACCTACCTAACTACTAGATAGATTAGATAGATAGATAGATAGGTAGGTAGGTAGGTAGGTAGGTAACTTCTAACTTATTTTACCATTATTCTAACAACTGAATTTTACTTTAATTTTTTTACTTACACTACTTATGTTTCTCATACCTTGTTATCTGGTTCTTTTCTTAGTCCTGATGATGGCCTGAACTTCAGGTCGAAACGTCGGCTAATGTTAAAATAAATAGTATCATTTATTTTTGCCTTCTTATTTGACTGATCACCCCAACTATTCTTCTCTCCATTAAAAATAAATATTTGAAATTAAATTTTGATTGCTGTAGGTTTTAAATAAATGCTAAGTACAGCAAAGCAAACCAAAACAAGGAAGGTTTAACAAAACCACTTAATTTCAGCAAGTCACTGTTCTTTCCTGAAAATCATGGAATCTAATTACAAGTTTTCAAATGCACTATTCAACATTCCAACATCTTGGCAACCTCAAATACGCATCAAAAGCACATAATACACTATATAATGATATAAGAAACAAGAATAAACGACTGAAATACATTTTATAATTAGGAATTTGACAATTCTTACAAAAAACCCTCATTACCCTACCAGTCAATTTTCCTGGTATTTCTGTCGGAATATTTGCCGTTTATGAATTCAAATAAACGGCAAATATAGCAAATAATAAGAAAACGAACTGTTATCGTGTCCAGTGGACTAATTTGTTCAGGCAAATGACTAAGAAAAACAAATTAGCTAAAAAAAATTACTGAGTTTAACATGAGGCAACATATGAAATCATTTTTCAGTGGACTGTATTGAGGCACTATTGAGGAATATGCATTGCAAAAACAAAGTTACTCATCATTTCTGCTGGTATAAGGCAATTTTTTACTTGGTGACAGGGGCCCCTTTACTTCGAATTTCTAGGAGGAGGGTTTAGCTGAAGTAGGTCGAACTCAAGTCCTGAGGAAGGTTGCAGCCGGTTATACTTGTTTTTGCAACCTACCGCAAGTTAGCATGCTGCTAGTGTTTATACACAAAACGACTTTGTATGTTAGATATTATTTTGTATAAAATTCTTTCCATAGATATATTATACATATACATTCTATTATTTCCGAAATTCAGCCTAAAAAAACATTTTACCTTTTTTTTTCTCCTTTAGACAATTGTAAAATTCTTTCATACTTTATATTAAGTATTTTTTATTACTGCTAACAATGAGAGACAGTTAATTATTTAAAATAAAACAAATTAAAAGTATTTTAGAGGAAGAAATTTTGGATATTTAAGTTCTGCTAAGCGCCATCAATGAGGATAAGACCTAGCTGATATTAAAGACCTCAGATGTCCTATCCACACGCCTCCTCCCCTATGTTGATAGAGCAATAGGTCTCTGTCCAATGTGGATTTCGATGTACTTAACAAAAATACCATAAATACTTAGCACAAAGAATTGTCATACTTTATAATGTTTTAAGTTTGTCATAATAATTTAATTATATGTTATAAAAGTAATTTATAGTATTTATTTTTTATTTTTTTGCTTTTGTTTGATATTTAGAAATTTTATCCCATATAGAAAATATTTTATTTTTATTTATTAACGATTATTTTACAACTTAGTTGTTTGTTGTTGCAATATTTTTCTTTTTATGTTTTAGAGTACAGTTAGTTCCTGCTGGATATTTCGTACTTCCTCTACAGAAAATAACAAAAAGAATACTATCTTGTTCCTAAAAAAAATCTAGTGCGCGCAACACACAACTTTCACTTACCGCTAAACTTTGAATAGAAATTATTTTCTGGCCATTTTGGGCTATTATAAAATTTTTTAATTGCATTTTTAACTGAACTAAAGCTAAAATATTACAGCTGACAAATAATAAGTACTATTAAAATAACATAAGTCCTATTTATTATATCACCGGTTGATTTCGGATTGTACGACTATTAGTTATTAAACTTATTTTCCAACTCAAAGTTTAATGAAACGGAATTAAGAGATTTGCATTGTCTGTCATGGACAGCTCAAAAGTTGTCACACTAATTGTAAGTGAATTCTGTTGGAATAACGAAAAGGGAAAATTTATCAAGTTATTCACTAATTTAATTTTATAACAATTACGTGATAATTTTTTAACATAAACGGACGATAGATACCTAATTATTTAAAAATAATGTCAGATTTAGAGTTATAAAACTGCAGTAAATATATTTGAGGTTATAAAAGTATCCATGAAATATTTTTATATTTCACTTCTTTCACACAAGTACAATAAAATAGTAGTGGGTATTGTTGGAATATCACAAAGGGAAGATTCATCAAATTATTCACTAATTTAATTTTTTGAAAAGTTACATGACAATATATCGGAATAAATGGACATTGATAACTAATTATTTAAATATAATATCAGATCTAGAATTATTAAACTGCAGTAAATGTATTTAAGGTTATAAACATATGCTTTATACATCCATAAAATGATTTTATATTTTACTTCTTCTTTCACACAAGTACAATGAAATAGTTTTTTAAACAATGTCATTGTCTTGATTAGGTGGATTTTAAATATTTTTTCAGACTTAAAACTATTTTAAAAAGGTTACATTTAGTTAGTAACCTTTAGTAAATTTAGTTAGTATAGTAAATTTCATTTAATTTCCTTGAAAACATGTGATTTACGTTAAATATTATTAGTTTTCAAAAATTATTATTTATAATTTTTTGCCACTCTCCGTTACCTTCTCCAACTTTCTATATTAGTAATTGTTTTTTCTAAAATTCTCCATTTTCCAACGATATATTATACATATACCTTCTAACAAGTATTAGTTCCGGAGATTTTTGACCTGGATAAGCATTTTTATTCAATTATCAAATTCTTTCAAAAGTTATATTTAACATTTTTTCGAAACTCTTAATAATGAGAGATAGTTAATTATTTAAAATAAACCATATAAAGGTACTTTAAAGGAAGACGTATACGGCATTTAAGCCCTGTAAAGTGACACCAAAGGAGATAAGATAAATGACCACTTAATTATACAATGATATGCCGAGTTTAATCAAAATCGTTAGAGCTGTTTTGAGAAAATTGTAAAAATATGTTTCAGCTTTGATATAAAGTGGCACTTCCGATTAACCTATTTTAAGGGAAAAGTTGCTAGGTCACCTAAGGCATATACCTATCTTAAATACGTAATATCAGTTTCGTACAACTTTTCGTTTTCGAGTTAGTGTTCAGACCATTTTTCGGGACTTGGTTATTTGGACTCAGGTGATCCCAAAACGTGTATTTCCATTGAAAACTCAGATTCAAAAATGTTCACGATCGCAATAGTTACCCTTACTATATATTACATATATAGGTAAGTGAAAGTAAAAATTTAATTAGAAGTGAATTTATTTAAAATCTGTTTGACAATAAAAAATCTAGTGCGGTGCGCGCATCACACAACTTTCACTTACCACTCTCTTAGCAGAAATAAGTATTTCCAGACAAAGCGAAGTGAAAGTAAAAATTATAGACTCTATATTTATTTATATTTCATTGTGGGTATTTTTATTTGTATAAGTACCCTCATATATACAAATTTTAATATTTATATTGCTGTATTCTATACAATTAAATATTAAACAATACCAACAATAGCCTTTATAAAAATCACATATGTATACTTATATAATATTGTCGGAGTTTGTATTATATAAACATCATGATATGTATGCTATGGAAGCTTGTTCTAATCTTTCTGGCGATCTTGGGTGCGCTCGTATTCCTTTGGTTCTTCTATTACAACTATTCTCCGTTACTATCTATTATTTCTCCTTTAGTGATTTATCAAATTCTTTCATAGTTTATATTTAACCATTTTTCATATTATAAATTAATGTGAAATTGTCAATCGTTTCAAATAAAAAAAATTAAAGGTACTTTAGGGGAAGCTAATATTGAAAATTAGCAATTTAAACCCCGTTAGAGAAAATCAATCAGAAAAATAACCATATTTTATTTAAAACTGCTTAATTTATACTGATATGATGAATTTAAACAAAATCGTTAGAGCGGTTATTAGTGCATTATATAATGTGCCACTTCCAGTTAGCTGATTATTACGAAAATGTTGCTTTAACATTTGCTAGCATATAAAAACCTTTAACATGCAATTTCAGTTCCGTAGGACTTTTCGTTTTTGAGCTTGACTGTTACACACACCCACCCACACACACACACACCATTTGGAGGGATTTGGTTATTTGGACTCAGGGGACCTCAAAATGTATTTCCCTTGAAAACTCAGATTCAAAAATTTTCATGATCCCAATACTTACCCTTACTATATATTACATATATATGTAAGTGAAAGTAATGAATAATAGCTATAATAAACTAAAAATTCAGTAATAAATAATCAATAATTTTTTATTAGAAGAATTAGTCCTGTCTTTATTTTATAGGCAGTGTTAATTGAACATTTGTGATTTGTTTTTTTAAATCTTCAGTTAGATTATAACTTTTTTTGATAATTGCACTCTTTTATTATTACTTTAAATTTTTCCCATTTGCATAAAATTCTGGGTATAATTGTCTAAAATAGATAAATATAAATGTTAATATACCTTATTCATCTTATCAGGGTTTATATTATTAAGATTAAAGGTTAATGCTATGGAAAGATGTTACTGAATTGCTTGCTCTTCAGTATTATGTTTGTTGATTAAACAACACTCCAGTTTCTTCTTTATTCTGCTCTATCATTGTTAAGGTATTTTTTTTTCTTTGTTAGTAATGCAGTTGTAAAATCTAATATTTATTTTAACCAAATAGTATTTAATAAGTTAACACTTTTTATAAACAATCTTAGGTCAAATCAACTATGTAATGTATATACATATACATTTGTGTTGTATATGGGTTTTACAAATCTAATTATGTTTTATTTATTCGTAACTTGTTATATTTTTAACTCAGTATTTTGTTCAGTTCGTGTAAGTTATAGATGATTCAATATATATTGCAAGTTTCTATAACCAAACTCCATAATTGGGATAACAATTTTGTTCTATTAATAGAGACTTCTGCTTATGAGAATTGAAAAGAACAAAATATATAAAAACAAACAAAATTAAGAGTGTATGTTAGCTTGTTTTCATGTTTATGGAAGTTGAGTGTTCCCGTGAACATTGTTCTAACATTTTGTTGGTAATTTAATTTAACATTCCATGTTTTACTATTCCTTTTTGTTAATAATGTATTAAATAAAATTAACATTAAATAGAAAAAAAAAATGAAATTAGAGAATATGGAATGTTAAACTAAATTATAGAAAATAAACCAATAATTCTAAAGATAAAACAATTTTCAGAGGTACGCTCAACTTCTTATGGTTAAAACAATGGCTCTTGAAGTTAATAATAAAGATAAAAGACTGAAGTGGATAAAGTAGTGAAATTTAATGAGGATGGAAAAGTATCATCAAAATGGATTGGTATTTTGTTAATTGAAAATAATGCTAATTTAAATATACATTACATCTAAAATGTTTGCAAGGTTAAATCAGTTGTTAAGTGGTAGGTGTTAAGAAACTATTTATACTTATATAAGATATATACTTTTCTTTTTCATTTATTTATAACACAAAAACATTTTCTTAGCATATCGTAATGTTTTTTATTATTATGTTTACATTATCTCATTTGTATGTTGAATATTTTTCTTCTCTTATTCACATACTTTTATATCTATCATTTTTCTTATATAGTTTTGTATTTTTTTTAATTTTTAGCCATGATAATGATCCACATATTTGGGTTGAAACGTCAACAAACTCAATAAACATAATTTTTTTTCTGTGCATTCTGACCATTTTTCATCCGTAAAAATAAAAGTAATATTCATTCATTTCATATATATATATATATATATATATATATATATATATATATATATATATATATATATATATATATATATATATATATATATATATATATATATATATATATATATATTTTAAATTTAAATAAAGTTCTACCTTTACTTTTTTCACTCTCTACTACTAATAAAATTCTTATTTGCACTTTATTCACACCCCACTTTGTTCTCGTCTTCTGTAATTGTTGAATCTTGGACATCATATTTCAAAGCTAGAATTATTTCTTCCAATAGAAGAGATTTTTTCCTGATAAAAACAACTGAATCGATGTTCATATAAGACTCAGGATTGGTTTCTATGTCTACTTTGTTAGTGATTTTGGATCCAGAATATTGATTAATGCTTGAGGAGGGATAGCTAGATTTTATAAAACAACTAGCAACTGATGTTCTTAATTGTATAAATATCCATTAAATTAAACTCTGTACATTTGATTTTTATAACCAGTTCAATTTTTCAACCAATTTTGCTCAATATAGATTGCAGAATGAATTTATAGATGTGGACTTATAAGTTTTTAATAATACAGTGGTTGACAGATAGCAGTAGTATTAGATTGGAAAAAATGGATAACTTTGGAATAATCAGTTCTGGGATGTGTTGTGATTCAGTGTTGTCTACATCTGAAATAAACTTTCTTGAAAACACATTTTATTGTTAAAATAACATTAACCAGTCTGTCAATTCGACATGCCATTCAATCATTTTTATTGGCACATCATTCTATTTGGAAGATATTTAATTTAAATTATTGATGCATCTTGGTTTTGATGATTTGTGTTTGGATGGAGGATTTTCAAACTCTGTCCATATGTGTGTACAAAAAACTTGAAGATTCCTTAAACATTTTGACATTCTTACAAGACACTCCTTAAAGGGCCATTGTTTTCTCTGGTGCATTGTCACTACAGAAAATTTCTTTAGTCAAAGAGCCAGAACTTATTTCTTTTACTTTCAAACCATTCACTTACAATATTAGAATGAAAATGTCACTTCTCCTTAAAGGGTTTTGTATCTACTACTATGTCAGGATTTGAATTTGTACATCCACTGAATGTTTTAATTCTCCTCTTACATTTTCAAAAATAGGAACCAGGATGTCTGAAGGGCAGCAACCACGTAAGGGTAGGGCGAGGGGGAGGGCTAGGGGTAGAGCCCGTGGAGTTCCTACAGCTTCACAGCAGCCTCAACAGCAACCTACTTCACCTCAACAGACCACACCATCTCAATATCAGCTACCTAGCCCATCTTCTCAGCGACTTCCTATTCTTCCTCAGCCACAGCAGCAAGCTAGAAGTCCTGGTAGTGCCTGGGGTTATGTTCCTCAACAAATGCAACCTGGTACTAGTGGTGTTCAACAGATAAGACAGCAGCAAGTGCAGCAGCAAGGAGAGCGACGGCCACAAGAGCAGGGGGCATGCGTAAGTCTAATTTTTGTCCTTTCATTTTTGTACATATTCAAATGAATCCTGTTTCATTAGTTATTTATGAAAACAATGAACTTCAAAGTCACCCTTTAAAATATAATTAATTGTTTAAGACCAATATTAACTCAAATTTACTATAATTCCTAAAACAATTAATCTCTAAGATTCTTGTACTAATTGTGATTTCATAATTGTATCTATCTAGAATTTCAAAACACTGTATTCATTGTTAATTGAAATTAACTGGCTGTGACACAGATAGGGTAAACAGAATGTGATTAACATATGTACTCACACTATGGTTATTATTTGAGACATCTGGTGTTAAAGATAGTATTCCATGTCTTGTATTAATTGAAGTTTTTTTCAATTTTGGGTTCTTAATGGCTGAGTTCATTTGAAACAATATATAGAGTCTTATTTTAAAAGAATGATATATTAAGTTACAGAAAGTGTCTGCTGATTGAAAGCAGAGAGGGGCAAATGCTACTCTGAGTAGAGAGTACCAAATATTTTATTAAAATCGAATCACTATTATGAATTAAATTACTACTTCATTTAATGGTTTGACATCAAATGAAGTAGTAATAAAATTGTTTGGTACACAGTATTTAAGTAAAATATTTGGTACTCAGTACAGCATTTGGCCATCTCTGATTGAAAGTAATTTTAACATTGTATAGGATTTAATTTTATTAAGTACCATGCTTTATGACTAAGTGTCTCATTTATCCAACGATTTATTGGTTTTTTTTTCCATTTAAATTATTTTAATATTTATATTTCTATTATGTACTACTGGTATATTTCATTTAACAAATAATGTCAACAGCATTAACACTGTATACCAGTCATTAATAATGTCTAATAATTGTGCAAGTGGTGAATAATTATTATTAGTTTAAAGCAATGAGATTTTAATTAGTGCAGTTAATGTTAGATTTAGAGAAGACAGTGGATCAGCTGATGCAAGGGTTGCGTTCTCAACTGGTCTCTCAGTTTTTGCCTATTTTTCAGCGGAATCTCTCTGATTATTCACTTAATACAGTTCAAGTGTACATCAGAGCAGTTGATATTTACTGTTTGATATCTTTTTTTTTCTTTTTCTCTTATGATATTTGGTATTACATTTCCAGTTGTTCTGCACCCAACTAAATAAAATCTGTTCTGGCAGCTATTCATGCCTTAACAGGACCAATGATACCAAAATAAAACCAGATTCTGCTGAAACCTACCGAAAAATAGTGAAGTACTTATCAGAAACAAATGCGAATTTTCACAGGTACTAGCTGAGGCAGGAGAGAGCGTTATGAGATGATAAGAAATTTACACTCCTCAACCCCAACTGAAGTGATTAAAGCAGAACTAACGACTCTTGGTTTCAATATAAGCCTACCAATGTTTTAAAGGAGGACAAGGTGTAGCCGGACTTACGAAATAAAATCCCACTACCATTGTTTTTCGTAGACTTGGAGCCACCACCAGGTATCGAAAAAATATATATCACAAGAATATGCTACACGCACCATCTGACGCATTGCGTGAAGTGCGGCGTACAGCACAAATCTGTGGAGTGTACCAAACTTGTACAAGATCCTGCAGTGTGTGCACTATGCTTGGAGAGACACCTGACCAACTACAAAGGTTGCCAAATTTACAAGAATCTCACAACCAGACACCAGAAAAATCGGATTCAAGATGAAGCACTAAAACTCAGAAGAGAGAGGGAGAGAGCCTTCTAGAATTGTAAACAATAATGTATCATTCTCCCAACTACTTAGAGGTAAGAATACAACCAATAAATGTCAAGCCCTGTCAACAACAACCTCAACCCCAACCTCAAAATCCTCTTCATCCTAATATACCTAATCATTAACAACAGATTCATCATATTCCTCCTCCTTCAAATGCAACAGATCTCACCGGTTTGTTAGCATCTTTCCTCACCAATTTCAAATCGCTTGTTACTCCACTCATATCACTCCTCACAAATCTTGTATGTCACCTCATCCCTCCTTTAAAAAATCCTTAAATGATTCACATCCCAAAATCCATAACCATTCTCCTTTGGAATGCGAACGGTGTTAGATATCGTACAGACGAACTATCTACTTTACTACTTGTCAAGAACATTGATGTGGCACTAATAACTGAAACGCGATTAACCACTAAACAACTCTTCAAAATACCACAATACTCAAATTATCGTACTGACCATTCTGACGGTAAAGCAAATGCTGGCAATGCTGTCATTGTGCACCAATCCCTGTCCCATCAGCTACTCAAGATTTCCTACAATCCACCGCCATTGTAATCAAAACCTTTTCCTTTGTCTTCACCCTAGCATCACCATATTGCCCTCCTAACAGATCCATATCCAATGACCAGTTCAGATCTTTCCTTAACTCCTTAGGACATCACTTCATCCTGGGTGCAGCATCAAGAATGGGGTTCAAGAACCACGAATTCTCGTGGTAGATCCTTGCTGTCTACACTCAATTCCCAAAGTTTCAACCTTCATCCTCCCAACTCACCTACCTACTGGCCAACTGACCTTAACCGCAATCCTGATATCCTCGATTTTCTTATCCACAGTGGTTTAGGACCCCTCAATCATTCCTTTACCCGACTTGAGGAACTTTCCTCAGATCATAGTCCATTAGTACTCCAATTATCTCTAGCTCCTATTCCTAAAACCTCTCCATCATCATCATCATCAGAGGTCCAGTTAACTGGAAACTCTTTCATCAAATCATTTCCAATAAAATTGATCTCAGAAAAACCTTGAAAACCCCAGAAGACCTTGACCTTGAGGAATCCCATACATTCCTTCACCACCACCATTCAACAAGCAATATGGACAGCTTCCTCTTCAAATCATTCCTCAAGAACCACTAAGAAAAATAGTTTACTCCAACACCTCATAGACCTAATCCACACCAAACGCCGTGCCAGATTATTATATCAACGTACCAAACACCCATCGATTGCCACCCCTACAATTATTATAGTAAACTGTTAAAGCAAGAATTATCATCCTTCAGATCCCAATCCTTTAATACCTACCTCACTGCTCTCTCTGTTCACGACAATTCCCTTCTGGAAAACCATTAAAAAAATCCTAAAATCCCATTACATTTCTCACCTTCTTCATTGATGTGATGACTCATGGGCAGCGTCTGATGAAGACAAAGCTGAGGAATTTGCCAGACACCTCTCCAGTACATTCACTCGTCATCCAGAATCCCATCTAACCCATATAAAAGTAGAAGACCAATTTGCCTACTCCTAATCCTATCAAAATTTTTTGAAAATATCCTACCCAAAGAATCCCATAAAATTCCTACCCATCAATTCAGATTTCGTTCCCAACATTTCACTGTCCAACAAGGACTCCGAGTTGTTGACCATATATCCTCAGCCCTAGAAAAGAAGCAATATTGTTCGGGTGCATTTCTGGACATAGCACAGGCTTTTAATTGGGTATGGAACGCTGGACTGCTCTTCAAGCTTAAATTTCATCTACCACAGTCCTTATATCTAATACTCCAAACCTACCTCTCTGACGGCTCTTTTCAAATTCGCTGTGGTACTGAATTCTCCGACTGTGATTTAATTGAGGTGGGAGTTTCTCTGGGCAGCGTCTTGGGTCCTTTACATTCTTTTCACCACAGATATTCCTGCCCATCCTGATACCCTCTTGGCAACATTCGCTGATGCTGATGATACCGCAATCCTTTCAACCAACTCAGATTCTAAAACAGAGCCCTTAAACCTATAAACGCACCTCTCCCTGATTGAACACTGGTGTAAGAAATGGCGGATTAAGATAAACAAATCTAAATGTAAACACATAACCTTCACCCTTTGTCGTAAATCCTGTCCACCAGTTTATTTTAACACCTTCTAGCTTCCTTTCTCAGATACAGTCCGGTACCTTGGCTTTCTCTTAGACCAACGATTAACGTTTAACCCTCATATAAAACTTAAATGACAGGAACTTAACCAACGATACGGCCAACTATACCGACTAATAAACAGAAAATATAAACTTTCTATCGACAACAAGTTACTGATCTACAAGACAATACTAAAACCTATTTGGACATACGGACTAGAACTGTGGGGAACAGAAAAATTTTCTAACATCAAACGCATCCAATCCTTCCAATCCAAAGTCCTTCAAACAATAGTCGATGCTCTTTTCTATGTAACCAACAAAACCCTACATCATGACCTCAACATCCTATTTGTCCTAGACCTTACCCCAGAAAAATTCTCCGAATCTCACCAGAAGCTTACGTATCATCCAAATCCTCTTGCACAATCCCTATCAAGCATCATCCATCCCTATAATCCTCCAAGAATGTTGAAACAGTAGTGGCATCACGGCCTTTTGTAGATTGTATGTATTGGAGATCTGGCAATACCAAGACATGAGTGTATGTGGCTAAAGTTCTCTCGAGCAATCTCCGCTGGCCTTAGTACCAATGATGCGGTTGAGAGAGTAGCTCAGAGTTCTCCTGGAGTCCAGCTTTTCCCTCCGTAGTTGGAGAGACAAGCCTTCCTCGGAATTCCCTCGCTTGATTGCTAATAGTGTATATAGGCATGCATGTGTTTTTTGCTAAGTTTTAATTTTCTTATTTTTAGGTTATTTTATTTTATTTATTGTATATACTTTATGATTATTATTTATTGTTATTTTGCTTCTATTTATTTTATATTTTTTGTACATATTGTGTGAATGTTATCCTACCTCACTATAACTAATGTCCAAGTGACAGATTGTTGTAATATTCAATAAATAAATAAAAGTAATGTTAAATTTAAGGCTTTTGTTTAAAAATAGTAAGTTGTCGGTTTTCAAATTAGACTATGATAGTGTGGTCTCTTCTAATTTTTAAATTGGTGAATTAATTTTTCTGTTATCATATTTTCAATTATTGAATTTATTTTTTCTTCAGGCCATAGACCCTAACCTAAAAGATGTAGCTGGAACCTTTAAAAAGCTGTCTGTTTCTGAACGTAAGTTAAATTCTCTATATCTTTAATTTTGCTTTTGGTTGATCTATACTGATAACAGTCTATTCTGTATCATGACATTTATTAACACAGTGAAATGGTGATTCAAGTAGCAATTGGCAATACTTAATCTCTCTTCTCTATTATTCCTTCCCTTTATGTGGGTCTTAGCTAGATAACAGGGCCCTGTTGTATAAAGAATGCAGTAAACCTCCTTTTTTTTTTTTGGAAAATTTTCTAGCTTAAAATAGGATCTTTTAAATCCAGAAGATTTTGAACTATTATAGTCAGTAAATGAAATTAACCTATACATAACAAAAGCATCCACAGGATAGTATTAGAAATTTACTTATTTAAACATTTTTGTTTCTTAATTTTTCCTTCGAACTTAGTGTTTTATTATGTCACCTTTATTTTATTTTGTAAAAATCTAAAAACCTAGTTTAAAAGAAACTTGGTTAAAAGTTAACATTATATACCAATTACTCATTTTCTGTTAAACCACTGAAAAAATTAAAGTTATGACTAGAGACCGGATTTCCTTGTCATTGCACATTTTATTCACTTATATGTAAAAACCCTGCACCCAAATATCTATCCATTTCAGAGTCTGTAGTATAACATATTTAAATTTTATATTGCACGAAATTGCATGTTTTGTCGTTTTTGACTTAAATCGCATGATTTTGATTTTTGTTGCATTAAATTAAACATTTTGTGCTACATTAAATGATTTATAAATATAAATATATATATTTGTGTGTAAATATTTACGTTTTTATTTTACTAACTTGTCCATATTAAATGTATAATTAAATATATATATATATATATATATGAGGAGGATAAATATGACTGGTAAAGATTCAAATTTAGCGTAACAAAAGGACTAAGTAAACACAAGTAAAGGCGATACTTAGAATAGAACTTGCTTGAGTAATTCAATAAAAAAAACTGCCTCCTTTGTTTTGACTTGAGTTCTTACTATTTCTTAAGTCCTTCAGTATTCCTTATGGCTTTGAAGTGAATTGTAGACCATCATAATATCCGATTTGACATTTATAAACTCAAATTTTGGCAAATATTAACTCAGTTAGAATCTCGAAATTGTCACTTAATAAACAAATTGAAATTATAGTAACTGAAAAAAATTTTTTTTAGTAGAAAATCTAAAAAAAAATCAGGTACTTTTTGTCTAGCGGGCTGGACTGAACCCTCACTTCTTATCTATCTTATCTATCGTCACATTACATAACCTCCCTCTTCTTATTCCGCCAAACCTTTGAGTTATTGCATTGTTTAGTTTTCAGTTATTCTCTTATTACGTTCACTTATTAAATTCTTTACTTTTGGCCCGTTTGTGTTTATTTTTCATTATTTTTAGTTTTTGGCCCGTTTGTGTTTATTTTACTTTTTTTTTAGTTTGTGGCCCCTTTGTGTTTATTTTTCAATTTTTTTCCGTTTATTTTCGTCATATTATGGATCTTCTTAGAATATGGGATTTGCCGCCTTCAGAAGAACAGGCAATTCAATATTTTCAAAATGTTGGGGTACTTGCCGACGTGAAATTGTGTGAATGAGGTCATCGAATGAAGTTAACCAGGAAGGCCAAATGGAGACGCTTTCGTAGGACTTATGACACAAAACTTTCAATAAGGAAAGGAACATGGTTGGAGGGCTCGAGGATATCGTTTTTAACAGCTTTAAAATTGATTTATGGGTGGTCCCATAGCTTGACAACGATGAAGTGGGGCAAAGAGCAGCTGAAACTATCTTACGGAGCTATGGTAACATGGAACAAATGTCTAAGAGAGGTTTGTGCCCATGACATGTTATACCGGCCAAGAAAAAAAATTGGAGGACCAGGCAAAGTGGTTGAAGTAGACGAAAGTCTTTTTTCTAAACGAAAAAATCATAAGGGGAGAGTTTTACCTCAGCAGTGGATATTTGCCGAGAAACAGATGAATGTTTTATCTTTTTATGTCAATATGTTCTTTTAAATGTGTTTGTTTATTATTTCATGTTGATGTTTTATATGTGCTCTTTGTGGTGAAGCCCACCCTGCGAGCTATAGAGGTTGTGAGGTTTATAAAAGTCTACACAAGCAAAGATCCCATAATATAGCAGTAAGAAGCCAGAACCTTGTTCAGAAAAGTAACACAGAACCGCCTGAAATTGAAAATCTGGATGTTTTCCCAGTACTGCCGACAACACCGCAAATCGTCCAACAACGGCCATCGACCACTGTATCAACGGACCTTCCTCAACAAGAATCCACCAAGCAACACTCCCAAACCACTATCATCAAGCAGCAACCTCGACGTCAGGCGCCTCAGACCTTCAAATCCAAAGATAAAATCACTAATCCTCAGCATCAACCTCCACGTCAACAAATCCCCCCTCATTATCTTCCCCTAACGGTCAAACTTCCGCCGGAGCATCCGCATCCAGCACAATCCCATCCTAATCTCCAGATGAACCCACCATCATATGTACCTCAGAAATTTCAAACAACTCCTCGTACCCAACAACGGACCCAACCCCCTACCAATAACCCTAATTGCACAAATTACGAACCACAACCTCCTCCTGATCCGAATCCACAGATCCTTCAAAGCCAATCATCCGACATCAATTCTATCCTATCAGCATTTCTGATAGACCTTCAACAGACTATCAAACCACTCATAACCCTTCTAACCAGATTCCTTTCCGAAATCCCATTCAATTTTCCTCGATGAACAAAAAGCCCCTAGCAATTCTCTTATGGAACGCTAATGGACTACAAAACCACCGTGACGAACTAGACATATTTCTTCATGACAATTACATTGACATTGCCCTCTTGACGGAAACTCATTTCACACAACGATCAAACTTTTACATAACTGACTACATCACTTACAGATCAGACCATCCAGATAACACTTCCCACGCAGGCTCTTGCATCCTTATCCATAAATCCTTATCTCATTCCCTAATCCCTTCCACCCCAACTGACGCCATTCAATCAACCTCGGTAATCCTATCAACTCGCCCTTTCCATCTTACATTATCAGCTGTATACTGTCCTCCTGGAAATTCCCTTTCTCATGGCCTTCTTGATTCCTTATTCCAATCACTCCGATCACGCTTTATTGCTGGAGGAGACTACAATGCTAAACACCAACGATGGGGTTGTCGAACATCCAATTCCCGTGGTAATATACTATCTTCTAATAGTTATTCTATCATCTCGCCCATGAATCCAACGTATTGGCCAATATCCCTTAAAAAACGTCCTGATATCCTAGATATATTTATCACTTCTCAGATTTCCTCTTCCCTGACCACAATAAAATCCCTGGATGACCTTTTATCAGATCATAGTCCAGTTCTGCTATTATTACATTCAAATCTCGTTCCTAAATCCTCACATCCGAAATTGATTACAGGACGAGTAGACTGGGACAAGTTTCGTTACGATTTGGAAAATAAACTGGACTTGAAAATTCCGCTTAAGACAAAACAAGACATTGACAAATCCATAGAAAAACTCACTACATCAATAGCTATTAGTATAAATGATAACACTTCCATCAATAAAAGCAATAACTCACGATATAGTAACTTGCCATTAAATATTCGAATCTAATTTAGGAGAAAAACGCAGAGCAAGATCGAAATGGCATAGGACTAGATATCCTTCAGATAAAACATACTATAACGAATTGACTAACAAATTAAAAATAGAAATTAGAAAATTTAAAACACAAAAATTACTTAACCTAACTGATAATCTTACAACTACTGACAAATCTCTATGGACGACCACAAAAAAGATACTAAAGTTTAAAGACTTTAACCATCCACTATTAACTGAATCCCAAACCTGGTCCAAATCCCAATGAAGAAAAATCTCAACTATTCGGTCAATACCTCTTCCAAACCTTTAATCCACATCCTGATATCCTTAATCCACATCAAATTGAATGTATTGAAGCAGAACTGGATATTCCACTCCAAATGACTCTTCCACCTAAAGCATTTCATCCTTCGGAAATATCTAATATCATCAACAGATTAACTTCCCGAAAAGCTCCTGGACACGACCTTATCACTTCCCAGATCCTAAAACTTCTTCCTCGGAAAGCCACCCTATTCCTCACTTACATATACAATTCTGTGCTCCGATCCACATATTTCCCTGATTCTTGGAAAATATCTATTGTCAAAATGTTACACAAACTTAAAAAACCACCCGAACACCCATCCTCTTACCGTCCTATTTCTCTGTTACCTATCATGGGCAAAATCCTGGAAAAACTCATCCTAAAACGCCTGTATCCCATCCTAGACTCTAATAATATTATCCCTGATCACCAATTTGGATTCCGCACATCGCATTCCACTATCCAACAATATCACCGTGTGGTTGATGTAGTCTCCTCTGCATTGGAGCGCGGTATGTACTGCGCGGGAGTCTTTCTCGACGTTGAACAGGCGTTTGATCGAGTCTGGCATCCGGGTCTTCTGTACAAACTCCGAAAAGTCCTACCCCCTACATACTTCCTCATTATCGGCTCCTATCTTACTGATAGATACTTCAAAGTAAACCAAAATAATGTCTTCTCATCCCTCTTTGCCCAATCTGCAGGCGTTCCACAAGGTAGTATCCTCAGTCCCATCCTCTACACAGTTTATACAGCTGACATCCCAACCCATCCTGACACTGTCATCACCACTTACGCCGATGACACATGTTTGCTATCTGTTAATAACGATCCTTTAATTGCATCCCAAACTCTTCAATCACATATCACAAGCCTTGAAGAATGGTGTAAAAATTGGAGAATAAAAATAAATTCCAACAAATCCGATCAAATCACCTTTACCCTCCGTCGTAAACCTATGAAGTCTTGTCCTACAGTAACTTTCAATAATACTCCACTTATTCCTGTTGAGCAAATCCGCTACTTAGGACTCCATTTGGATAAACGTCTTACTTGGAATCCTCATACTAG